ACCCCTTTTTTTTATTGTATACTATTGATGTGCGAAGTATACTGTCCTTTTTTCAAATTATTCGTGTCCCCGGAATCATAACATTTGTATAAATAAATGCCATTTAACTTCACCTATCTTGCCTAACAACCGCCAAAAGCGTTGATGAACTATACACCTTGAATTGTCCTTTCCTCCATAAATTGTGACCAGTGTTGTTATGAGCTGGTACGACGTATTGTACATCGGTATATATATATATATATATATATATATATATATATATATATATATATAAACATAATATTGTACATGGATATAATGTATAATGGGTGATATAATGCTGTATTCTTCTATGTATTGTATGCTCGTTTTCCTAAAAGATTCTTTGCTCTGTCGTGTTATTACTGTTCTGCTGGCCTGTAGATTTAATACCTGTGGTATTTATACTTCGAGCATGATGCCAAAAAGAAAAGCTTTGTTTAATGACATTCTAAAAGAAGACATTATTTGTTGCAAGGTTCAAGGCATAGGAAAGTTCTAATTATTGAAAGAAATTTCATCATCCACGTCTGTTATAAAAGTGAAAAAAAAAGGCAATGATAATGAAGTACGCCTGTTAGGTGATTGCAAAAGTGATGGCAATGATGGACGTATTTATTTATCAGTAGTAAACATTTTCTTTAAGGAAAATAATTTATTATCAATTTTTTTACGAAGTGTGCTCTTTTTCCATAACGGAAATATGGTAACCTTACGCATGAGAGCGAGGGCAGCCGCGCGCAATGCCTCTGTTTGCTGGTGGCCGCCGGACCGGTGACCGAAATGCGACGACGAGCGCGGAGAGAGTTCAGAGAGGAGGGCACTTCACCAGAGCACGCGGTGCCGGGGCCGAGGGGAAGTAGGCAGCCGGGCGGCTGCCATGGAGACGGGGCGTGCATTATTAACGAGCGCATCGCCGCCACGTATGGGCCGACCGGTCGCAGACATCTCTCTGTTGCGCACGGGAAACTAACCCACTACTCATACAACGGGGAGAGGCTTCTCTGTTGGCAGCTCTGAATTTATTTGAGCTACCTGCAGAACACACCGGCGTTAATCATGACCCGTGTAGAGCTTTTGGAGGGCAAGCCTGGTCTCGTTTACCACTAACTGCGGAAATTAACATCGTTCCACTCGGAGTAGATGATTTGACTGTGTACACTATCTGCAGGTATAGCGACAAATTGTTGCGTAATAATTTCTCGTGTAGCTTGAAATGATGAGAGGGTTGCTTAATAAAGAGTTGGCAAATACGTGTCGGCACTGATTCTCAAAATAAGGAAATCTTAATATTGTGATATATAATCTTCATATTAAATTTAAGTTTTAGTAAATGAATGGTTTTTTTTAACTTACAATCATGGATATTCAATAAATGTAACCCTATTTGAGAAATGTTACTTCAACAGTGCTTTTAATTTTTTCTGTTTTCAACCATATAACTTAACACAAAAATCGCAAACAATACATATATAATAATTGAAATGAAAAATCACACCACTACATTTTTCAAGAAATCGTCTCGAAAAAACGCGGGTCGAGGTACATCTTTGCAGCGTCAGTGGAGCTGAGAAGACGAATTGTCGCGATGCGTGCACACATAGATTGATTGAACAAATAAGAACATAACATGAAGTCCCGGACTGCGTTTCCATGTCTCGAACTCCCACGGCACCACTCCCGGAGGGTAGATGGCAAACCTGTTCTAGTACGTAAATTGACATTTTAGAGGATCGCGGGGCCGTATGTGTGTAGAGATGCAAAGAGATGGCGGAATAGAAGTGTACGTTTCCTAACTCGCGAGTGCGATTTTTTTTGATGAAGAGAAGCGCACTGTATAGACGCGACATTACGAGGGACATATCTGCAAATTTCTTATCTGCGAGCTCCAAATTTGTGTATGTAGGGGTAGGTAATATTACTGCTTTGAAAACAAGGTATATACATTGCATAAAAGTAGCATTTGCATATGAATATTCAGTAAGTAAAATTAAACGACACCAGAATTTAAAAAATAAAAAACATATTGCGGAAAGAATTATAAAACTAAATTTTTGTAACTCATACTATCAACTTTTCAATATCAGAACGAATGTACATTCGTTTATGTCTTGAACATTTTATCTTACTTTATGTTATATAAAATGGATATAAATAAATTAATTTATCTTAACAATTTTATTCCGTGCATTTGTACCAACTAACCGCAACTTTAAATCTAAGAAGATAATGAGCATGCATTTTTATTTAATACATTTCATTCGTTCCCTTATTATCTTGTGCCATTATTCATCCCGTCACACATACTTATTTATATTTATTTATATTATATATATTTATTCAAATATGCATAGAAGATTGTTTGCTTAATTTATGGGCTGACTTTGAAGGCAGAGGTTCTACAAGAGCTTTAAATGTGTCTCTCTGAAAGTATCTGTTTATTTCAGAGTGTATATTTCCAGACTAAATCATCCATAATTTGAATGAATGGCTTTTTATTAATGTATCTAACTCAAGAGGTATTTGAAACAAAAGTATAATATTATCGTTGAACACGTATATGAAGCAGATTTTAATCAAAGCAATTAACTCTACAGTGTTTCCCAATATTTTAATTTAAAGATACGTGTAGATACTAAAGGATATACTGTTTTGACTACATATAAATAGATTGAACAGTCTTCAGCAAATAAGGTCAGTGTGTTGTCAAAAATAATCCTATCTGCGAATCACTTATCAGCCTGCCAAGGAGCAGTCGTGAGTCACGTTTCCTCGTAATCTCCACATTTTATCGTTTAAGAGCGATACCGCCTATCGGTGCCAGAGTGTAGCTAGAACACGGAACCTCTAGATATCCTGTCAATGGAAGCGCGCCTTAGTGGGTATTTTCGAAAGACGCTGTCGTACTGCTCCTGACATCAGAAATAGTTGTACTTTTACCACCTGCAATATCTCGCTTCATTGGGACCAGCTTCATTAGGGTAAGTTAATGTTAGTTTTTGTAGTACTATCCACTACTAGAGAATAGCTCAGAATGTTTTCGATTTAAAAGTATATGTTCAAATCACATTTTTCACTTACTCAGTGTTATAATTGTTGCTCTACTTTTAATGGAAGAGATTACTTTTCAAACAACTGAAGAGGTCACTCCACAGACATCTTTTCTAAAATTGTAATACCTACATAAAGTTGTGTGTTATAAAATTTTGTAAGTTGTATTACTCTTGAATATATAGTATCTTTTCAAATATTTTTTTCTGCTTAAGGCGGTGGCCTCAGTGGACCTTATTTTTATCAAAATATCGGTTGTCCGTCTTTGGATGTTTTCGCTCGATGTGCCGAACATCGTCTGTCGAAGGAAAGTTGTTCGTTGCTGTTTCGTTGGGTTCTATCGGCTCCAGTCACCCAAAATCAGCTGAAGAATCAAAGCCATCTGAAATATCAAAGCCATCTGAAATATCAAGGCCATCTGTAATAGATGCAGGTGGTGTTCTTGAGCGTTCTTCTTAAAAATGTTTCATTAAATGATCTAGGGAATCAGGTTGTCCGAATATTCTGACGATCGGATATTTTTCGGATAAAAGATAGACTTCGGCCGACATCGGCCGTTTTCGTCAGATGTGTATTCGTTTAAACATGTGCTGATAAATGTAAACGATATCTTATGACGGCATTCGAAAATATTTGCAACGATGATGTTTCGTTTAATTTTATCAGTTCCATTCAGTTGGTGATCTAAGTCTATCTATAATATTAAGACTACCTGCAATACATGTAAGTCTTGAGTGTGGTTCTCGCAAACATGACAAACAATGAAATGCGGAGTTATGGTCAGTTTTGGAGGCAGCACTCGGGTGTTTTTCGGATGAAATAAGACGGGCGATCGAAATTCCGTTATATAGGGTGTGGTATCGTACGTAATAAGAACAGCGCAATTAGCGTGGCATGTAGTGTAATATTTATTTAAATGAAATTTCGAGTGATATGATCTCTATTGACATATTACCTCTGTACTATATAACGTGCTGTTTTATTTATGCGTTCCGTGTTGTTAATTTAATCAAAGGAAGACTGTACAACCAGAGCTTCATTTTTTGAGTTCGTCTCTAAATGAAAATTTTTAATAGACTAGGGGGAATTTCAGAGTTAACAAACAATCATATAAAAACAATAAATAGTCCCAACAAAAATAAAGTAATGCCACCACTTATTCTGATTAACAGAGAAATTTATTAATTTACATCATATATTAGTAATATCTCATATCTTATTCAATAATATTTATATTTTTTATTATAGTGTCCAATAGCACAACATTTTTGCAAAGCGAACCTTCGGTTAAAAGGACTATATATTGTAATCGGCTTGCAATATGCACTGACTATATATATTAATCAAATTTTCCTTATTTTGGTTAAGTTTACTTATTTCTGTTTTGTTTAGTTACAAATTTTTGATACCATTATTTCTTGTCAGCCAAATTCCGCTCCCTATTTCCTAAAAGTGTGTAGTTAATTTGTAACTAGAAATATAAATCAGGAGGTGTACTGGAAACTGTAAATGATGAATTTTATCGTTTTTGTCAAAACAAAGTTGAATCCTGAAATACGATTATGTGAGTGGTCGTCTCGAATTTTGCTCGATCTCTTTAAGAGAGCGATATGGTGTTGTCTTGAAAGTATTCAAATTATCCGTATTTTCAAATCCTATGGGCGATTCCTAAACATTTCCCATTTTTATATTTTCCGGAACATCATTGCACTAGTACAGTCACAAGTATGAGTGTTCAACGGATTTACTGCTTAATGGTTAATTTTTATGTGCTTCATTTAGGCTTCCGTTTAATAAACGCTTTTTTTCGCGGTACGTTAATTATTCGTTTATTTGATGATTAAATATTAATTAGTTCATTTTTAATAAATTGGGTTATTGAGATCGATATACCCTGATGTATTGTTTCCAGATCCGTTTCAAAAGCCATGCCATTGCTCAGGCAGAATGCAATTGAGGGCGACGAGGGAGCGGACGCCCTCAGCGACGCGTTCCTGCGAATGCAGGAGGCTCTGCGTGGGCGGGAGCAGAACGTGCAGGAGGTCTTGCGGCGCGTCGAAGAGTCGGCGGCGGCTGCGTTGCAGGCGGCCTTGGGGCAGGTGGAGCAGAAGCTGCAGCAGAGGGACGAGGCGATTCGCGGCTTGGAAGCGCGCATGCGGACGCTGGAGGGCAGAATGACCGCTGCGGAGGGCCGACTCGCGCCCTTCACCGAACGAGGAGGCGCCAAAGACGCCGGAGACGGGAAGTCGCTGGAGCAGTTGGAGCATCGCATGACGAACTTGGAGGCTGCCATTCAGCGAGCGCTGGCCAGCGTCTTCCCGCGCGTGGAGTCGCTGGTGGAAAAGTTGGAGAAATCGCCACCAGGCGCGACTGGGACTCCATCCGCGGCTCCCGCTGCACCCTCCCTCTCCCGAACCCCCTGTTCATTCAGCGTCGCCCCCGCCACCGGCACCGGCCGTTCGTCGTCGCATGCAGAGACGTGGGTAGGCGCTCCGGTGGGGCACAATCGTAGGCCATCCGAAGCGGACGAGGAGGAAGAGCGCGAAAAGCAGGAAGTGATGGCGCGAATGCAGGAGTTAAAGGCTAGGAGAATCAAGGCACGAATGTCTCCTGCCTTGCTAGGTGAGAAGTTGTGTCAGGCGGCGTTTATTGGAAGGCTGGAAGACGTCCGCCGTCTCACAAACACCGAAACTTACATCAATTACATCGACAAAGAAGGAGACTCTCCCTTGATTTCTGCTCTTCTAAGTAAATCGCCCAATACAAGGGTCGTGTCGTTAATTCTGGAAAGAGGAGCCGATGTGAACGCCATCAACGACCAAGGAAGAGCCGCCATTCACTACGCCGCTGCGTGCGATAGCAAAGGGAGGTCCGTGCGTCTGCTGATAGGCGCAGGAGCCGACGTGGATGCCAGAGACGTGACGGGAGCAACTCCTCTCCACTGGGCTGCCTTCAATGGCAATGAGACGGCGGTGCGAGCGCTGCTCGCCGCGGGAGCAAAGCGTTATCGCAGAGGATGGAGCGAAGAATGGACAGGCAAGACACCGTTCGACGTCGCGACCTCTGACGGCGTTCGGATGTTGCTCCGGCAGTGATAAGAAGAAGATTCGTCAGTCAAACTTAAGATTTCATACCACCGTTACCACTTGTGCTAATGCTCAGTTCATTAGATACCCTCGAATTCTCTCTCTTAACTATTTATTAATTTTTGAATAGGACAAAGGATTTTTTTTACCATATCGCATTCGATAAATTTAGCTCATCACCGTGTGATCTTGAAAGTTTACAGATGCGAGTGATGTACTCAAGCCATATTGAAATGTATTCATTGTCTGTGTGGCACAATAAATGTAGCTCACACAATAATAAATCGTTATTGTTCCTTGTTCTTAGTGACTACCAACCAGCCCTCAAAATTATCGCAAAATTATCCTGAGGGGCGCAAGATCATTTTTGGCGATGCGTATATTTTTAATCACCGAACGAAGTGTCTCAGCGCGCTGATTTCGTAATCGGGAGGTCCAGGTTCGACCACCGGATCCGGATTATTATGCGATTCCCGATGACGATGATTATTATTATTGTTATTAATATTATTATTATTATTGTAATCAATTTGTATGTTTTGAAAATTTACTTCTTATCATACCAGTTACCATTATATCATTTGTTCCAAGAAGCGAAGTCTCTAAAAAATACTAAATCATTATCAGATAAAGGTATTCATGCAATCCTTTTTCCATTATGAGAATATACACATCGTATGAATAGAGTGTACTTGTTCAACCTCGATAGATATTTGAAATCATTCTCTCGGTTGACTCGTGGTCGGCAGTTTCTACACATTCATATTAAACGGAGGAACGGAGCCTAGGGGAACCTGTGCTTAAATTAGGTACTGGGGTGGAACGGCAGTCCTCATATTTTCCCACATTCCTGCACGATGCAGCACATTATGCTAAATATGTTTTAGGACTGAAAACAGTGATACACAAAAATAGTGAAGTTATCTCGTGCAAAATGTTCTTGTTGTTAGCTGCTGAGTGGTGCAGGTTGTCAAAGTCAAAATTATAGAAGGCCAAAAGTTTACTCTGTAATAATTTACATTGTTTCTGAGTGATTCAATAGATTTGTTATCTAAATAAGGTAGTTAAGTTCTTTCACGTTACTTTCAGTGTATTTTATAGACTGCACGAGTACGTGCTTGCTCTTAGAATGTTTGTGCACCGAATGCATGAATTAAAAGTAGAACGCTGTACCAGCTTCTGGGATGAAAATGGCATACTGTGTTACGCTACCCCAATGAGTATTTAATGTCTTTTTACTATCGCTATTGACACTATTATTTGACACTAATTGAAATTATAACTGATATTCATATTAATTGATATTTATTACTATTGAATTGTGATGTGATGTGATGGGATGATGCCTGAATTTCTGGATACTGGATACCGTTTACCTGTCTGACAGATTCGATACTCGATGCTCGATACTACTCCCGAAAATAATGCGCCCCAATTTTGTTGGCCGCGACTATCCGTTGGAGCCGATTGACACTGAAGTTCCTAAGACTCCCTTCATCCTCTCGTGCAAGCGGCAACGCTGTGCGACGGACAGTCGCGGCAGAAATGAAGGCCAGATTAATCATATTCTAATCGCTAATCTTTTTTTATGAAATCTCTATGATATAACATCATGGGATGAATACCAGGATTTCCAAAGAGCCTAAAATATCGCGCCATTTACCTGCACATTTGTCTCGTACAATTTGCAAAATTTAGATATCAAATGCATTATATGTGGGTTGCATTTGGCTCATGAGATGAAAATTACTGATTGAAAATATTCGACCAGAGCAATAATACAAATTGTTTTAAGCAACCCTTTCAGGTATTCCAAACAATCATACGGCGTACGCAAAACCCTTTGTGTTGGAATATTCTAAATGGACGTCTCAATTCGTTGCCACGCGGTGCAAGAAGAAGCGTACAGTGGCGATTTTTCGTAGGGATGTTGAGCGTTGTTAAGTAGAAGCAATCTTTGCCATTGCTCTGAGGCGTGGGGTGGGAAGGGGTGGGCGTAGCTCCTCCTCCTGCCGTGTGAGTGGTGGAGGGGAAGTCGC